AAATGGACTCGAAAAAAAATCTATTTGCTTAAACGATACCTTTGTGTAGAATAGAAATTATATCATCAAAAGCGATTTCGAAGTTATTTTATGTGAACAGAACGAAATCTGCAGAAGGTGTCTAAGAGAGCTTCATGTGATACTTATCGCTATCAGCTATTTTCTCTTTTACCGTGGTAACAATTGCGTTCTTTTACACGTACAGCCGCTCGATTGGATGAATTTAAGTCTAGTATGATCAGTTTTGATCGGACTGACTTTGATCAAAGTTTTTTTTTGATATTAATAATAATAATTAAAAAAAATATATAGGGGGCATTCCACGTCAACGAGAGACCCCCCGCCCCCAGAATAGATTTAAATGAAAAAAGTTCAAATACGGCTTAAAATTTAGGTAATTACATCTACTTTAAAATGCAAAGTGGCAAAATAAAAAATTCAAGATGGCGGATCCAATATGGTGAAAAAAGTAAAAAAAAATGCTTGAATTCACTTGAAATTTGTTACTCAGGGGTTTTTAGGGTCGCTAAACACAAATATGAAATCAGATTTTTAATATTAAAAATGGCGGATCCAATATGGTGGCCGATTTTTAAAAATTTTAACAAATTTCAATAAAACGTATCTTATAGTGCTTTGTAGGGTTGTAAAAAGTTCTAAAGATTTTAAATTGAATTAGAAATTTAGGTAATTACTCCTACTTTAAAATGCTAAGTGTCAAAATAAAAAATTCAAGATGGCGGATCCAATATGGTGAAAGAAGTAACAAAAAAAGCTATAATTCAATTGAAATTTGTCACTCAGGGGTTTTTAGGGTCGCTGAACACTAATCTGACATCAGATTTTAAATATTCAAAATGGCGGATCCAATATGGCGACCGATTTTTAAAAATCGAAACAAATTTAAATAAAAAATGGATTACGAGAGTTCGTAGGGTTGTAAGAAGTTCCAAAGGTTTTTTATTGAGATAGAAATTTAGGTAATTAGACATACTTTCAAATAAAAAATGGCCAAACACAAATTTCATAATGGTGAACCTAATATGACAGAAGAAGTAACAAAAAAAGCTTCAATTCAATTGAAATTTGTCCCTCGGGACTAAGATAAGTAGACCTTACTTTTACTAGTTGGATTTTTACCCTTTCTTACTTTAACTAGTTGGAACCTAAATTGATCTTGCCTTAAGGTATCACATCGGTAAAACCGTTTTCTATAAATTTTCTTGAAAATTTTCCCATATGTTCTTATTATCATTCTTGAAAAATTTGCAAAATATGAAGAATTTTCGCCGTACGGAACCAGAGATATTAGCAATCAAAGTTGCTTATTTTGCATGGGAGACGGGACTAATGTATGGGGGAGAAGTACATTTTCATAAATATCATCAGAAGTTTTCTATAAATTTTTTTCAAAAACTAATGTTGAATTCACGAATAAATTTGGAACTAAAATATACAAAGAAATTTATAATTTACCGTGCCGTTTATTTGTAATTATAAATTAAAAATTCTATTTCATGACGTCATTTGCAATATGTAGCACACCCGCCACTTTGATGTGGCAACATCGCAGGATGGTGACATTAGTTAGAGAGAGACAGTAGTCCACAGTAGTCAAAGCGAGACTTATAGCGACGTTGTCAAACCTCCTACTCCTTCTAATCGCTGCTAGTGTGGGGTATACATGTACGAGTGTATTTGTAGAAGTAGGTACAGTATGGGCTGAGAGTATAGGGAGTTGAGGGCGAAAGTATAGTGCGGGAAGTAGTAATGCGAGCTACAAACTTTTGACTCCGATTAGTGCCGATGTGATACCTTAATTGGTTGGACTCTTTATGTCTTACTTTCACTAGTTGAATTTTTATCCTCTCTTACTTTTACTAGTTGGAACCTAAATTGGTCTTGCCTTAATTGGTTGGACTCTATATGTCTCACTTTCACTAGTTGGATTTTACCCTTTCTTACTTTTACTAGTTGGAACCTATGTCTTACTTTTGCTAGTTGGATTTTTATTGTTTCTTACTTTTACTAGTTGGATTATTACCCTTTCTTACTTTTACTAGTTTTGGAACCTATGTCTTACTTTTACTAGTTGGATTTTTATTGTTTCTTACTTTTACTAGTTGGATTATTACCCTTTATTACTTTTACTAGTTGGTATCTAAATTAGCCTTGCCTTAATTGGTCGGAACCTATGTCTTACTTTTGCTAGTTGGATTTTTATTGTTTCTTACTTTTACTAGTTGGATTATTACCCTTTCTTACTTTTACTAGTTGGAACCTATGTCTTACTTTTACTAGTTGGATTATTACCCTTTTTTACTTTTACTAGTTGGAACCTATGTCTTACTTTTACAAGTTGGATTTTTATTGTGTCTTACTTTTACTAGTTGGATTTATAACCGCTCTTACTTTTACTAGTTGGATTATTACCCTTTCTTACTTTTACTAGTTGGAACCTATGTCTTACTTTTACTAGTTGGATTAATACCCTTTCTTACTTTTACTACTTGGTACCTACATTGGCCTTGCCTCAATTGCTTGGAAGCTATGTCTTACTTTTACTAGTTGGATTTATAACGTTTCTTACTTTTACTAGTTGGTACCTAAATTTCATTACTAGTCCTGCATTTATTGGCTGTAACCTACTTATCTTAGTCCCGAGGGACAAATTTCAATTGAATTGAAGCTTTTTTTGTTACTTCTTCTGTCATATTAGGTTCACCATTATGAAATCTGTGTTTGGCCATTTTTTATTTGAAAGTATGTCTAATTACCTAAATTTCTATCTCAATAAAAAACCTTTGGAACTTCTTACAACCCTACGAACTCTCGTAATCCATTTTTTATTTAAATTTGTTTCGATTTTTAAAAATCGGTCGCCATATTGGATCCGCCATTTTGAATATTTAAAATCTGATGTCAGATTAGTGTTCAGCGACCCTAAAAACCCCTGAGTGACAAATTTCAATTGAATTATAGCTTTTTTTGTTACTTCTTTCACCATATTGGATCCGCCATCTTGAATTTTTTATTTTGACACTTAGCATTTTAAAGTAGGAGTAATTACCTAAATTTCTAATTCAATTGAAAACCTTTAGAACTTTTTACAACCCTACAAAGCACCATAAGATACGTTTTATTGAAATTTGTTAAAATTTTTAAAAATCGGCCACCATATTGGATCCGCCATTTTTAATATTAAAAATCTGATTTCATATTTGTGTTTAGCGAACCTAAAAACCCCTGAGTAACAAATTTCAAGTGAATTCAAGCATTTTTTTTTACTTTTTTCACCATATTGGATCCGCCATCTTGAATTTTTTATTTTGCCACTTTGCATTTTAAAGTAGATGTAATTACCTAAATTTTAAGCCGTATTTGAACTTTTTTCATTTAAATCTATTCTGGGGGCGGGGGGTCTCTCGTTGACGTGGATTGCCCCATAGGTATAATTATATTGTAGTTGTTTATTAAAAAAATGTATTAATAAGCATATTATCATCGATGTAGTATACATTTTTAAGAATTACAGAGAATTACATATTTTACATATATTTATATTTATTTAAATACGATGGTAAATAGGTTTCTCCTATTAAGTATATCATTAACCTAATCATATCTGATAAGGTAGAAATTTTATTGACTAACAGTCAAATTTGTATGTACGAAACTCGTACAAATATTTTTGTGCATGGTTTCTGAAAAAAGTGGATCTTACCGGCAATAAGAAGGTTCTGGGATCATACCCCAGCAGCGAGAGGCGATCCACTTTTTTCAGAAACCATGCACGAAAATATTTGTACGAGTTTCGTACATACAAATTTCACTGTTGGTCAATAAAATTTCTACCTTATCAGATATGATTAGGTTAATGAAATACTTAATAGGAGAAACCTATTTACCAACGTAACTACAATATTAAATTCAAAACAAAATTATCATCCTCACTAGATATTTATATTTATTTAAATAATAATGTATTAAATAATTTAATAACGCATTAATTTATTTAAATAATATCTGTGGTTGAAAGGCATAACAGCATAACTGACATTTTTATCAAATTTGAGATAACACCAGATTCTAGTACATTTAGTAATGCTTTCCAAAGATTCATAGTTGAAAAATCATTTCTGTAACTATTTAAGTAGAAAATGATGAAAAACCTAATCGCATAACTGCATAAAAATAAAATTTTTTATTAGTTTGACTAATTTTTCGATTTTCTCTTTTCATTAATTCTTTTGAATCACAGGTATCTTCATTCTTCTCGATATGTTCACAAAAAATATTAAATTTGGGAAATTACGGAAATGTAAACATAAAACCTAACCAATTTTATAACCTATTTTTAAAAAATATTCGTTTGATTTTTTTCATAGATACAATAAACATAAATAATAATTTTATTCTTTTGCCTTGATTATAATCATCTCCTTCAGATAAATTTGTTTCAGACTCAGATTCGTACGTCGCTATTAAATTCATTTTGACAATTTACTATGACATGAAAAATAGAGTGAAGTTGGTTACATATTTAAACTTGAACAGCATAAACACATAACTGCAAAAAAACTTTCAATTTGACTAAGAATATATTAAATTTCATATGAATTCGTGCGTTTTATTAAATGTGATAAACGTATTTTAAAAATACATTAAATAATGAGATTAAATGCCGAATACCAAACACATTCATTGATTTTCTGATTTGACAGAGCTAAATGAATATTAAAACTCATTTTTCTCAAAATCGTGACAAATGCAGTTGTGCTGTTATGCTTTTCAACCACAGATATATAAATATAATTTTTTTAATAGACAATATATTGTCAGTGAATGTGTTGTCATGACGACAGTAAAACGTGAGTCGACAGTTTATTTTGATGTTCTTTGTAATAAGTAAATTTTTTATCATTCTGTACTAGTTTTTTAAAAAAATGTGTTGCTGGTGTTGAATTATATTTTCTTTGTTTTTCTAAGTAGTAATACCTTGCAAACTTACTACCACGGTGGCTACAAATATGATAGAGACTATAGATGCACACGAACCGTCACCTACAGGTTATCATTTTCAAAATTTTTAAACTTAACTCTAATTCTACTTTTTTATTCTTTTTAATTAAATTCTAATTTTACAGAAATTACATTTCTATTAGAGAAAGTTGATTTAATTGTTATTTAATTGAACTTCTATTAAAAAATTTAAACCCTTAAACGTTTCATATAAAAATCAATTAAATTTATTAATTAAATTAAATTAATTAATAATAATATTTAATTACTATTAATTAGAATTAAATTAATTATTTAAGATTAAAGTTAATATATTATATTACACTGTACAAATTTTTTTGAAAAATTAATTAAAAGTTGTTTTGAAAAGGTTAGAGGATTTTTCCAAATAGTAATACAAGATAAATTCAAACATCTTTTTTGACTTTAGCCCAACGAATCTTTAAGAAAAATTTTGAAATTACTTAAAAATTTTTTAAATCCAAAGTTGAAATTAATTTCTAACAAGTATTCAATTTTTTAAAAAATGTATTAAAAATTGTCGAAACATTGTTCAATGTTTCATGTTTAGTTAATTTGTCACTTATCTATCCAAAACGTCATTCCTTGCACCGCTTTCTTCCTGATTTCTTCGTCTCACTCCTTCATTAACGTCTAATAATTCGATTTAACTTTCCAATTATTCAAAATTGCTTTAAATGTGTAAACCGTACAAACAGGATTAAAGGATGTTGTAAAGGTGGTTTGAAGAAAGTTGGTAATCAGTACCAACTAATAAAGCCCCATCTGTGTTCTCGAGACGACAACGTTGAAAATAATAATGCGGTCAAATAAAAAATGACTAAACGTTGTTTAATAATGACACTAAATTTAAGAGAAAATTATTATGAAGTATGTCATGAGTGAGTAAAACTTTCTATTAAGCTAGCCACGCAAGCTTCCCCGACAATTTTACTGTACACTGGAAAAAAAATTTATTCGAATCAATTGATTCAAATTATTTGAAAAATATTTACTTTGTACAAATATTTTTTAGTTGGATCTAAAAAATATGCATTTGATTTAAATAACTTAAATTATTTGAATCAAACATATTTGAAAAAAATAAATCGTAATTGGGTCAAGTAAATATTTAATTGAATCTAATAGGGTCAGTTGGGGTAAATGGGGACAAGAGGTTTTGTAGCTTAATTTACAGTTTTAAAATTAAGTTCAACGTCAATATTTTAACCCCAGATCAACCTGCAAGAGGTTTTGAGTATTGACAAGCTTTTATCTTGACAATTATCAGCAAGATAATTCAAGTTATCGCTCAATGCATGAAAACTTGAAAATTAAAGTCAAACTGTTTCAGTATTTTGTCGAGTATTTTAAAGAAAACAGATTAAAAATCATACCAAATTTTTTCTTATTCCTCATGACTCTTATAACAGAAATTTACTTAAATTTTTTATTTTTATCAATTTGGTTAATAATGACGAGCTGTCCCCATTTACCCTAAGTTTTCAAATTTTTGGGGTAAATGGGGACAGCTTGTCATTATTAACTAAATTAACAAAAATTCAAGTGAATTTCTGTTATGGGAGTCGTGAGGAATAAGAAAAAAATTTGGTATGATTTTTAATTTTTTTTCAAATGCTAGACACAATACTGAAATAAAAAGAAAATAAATAAAAAAATTTCAATTGGTTCAACTATTATATATCTACTACAAATTTTTTTCCAGTGATTTCATCCCTTAATACAGAAATATACTTAAGAAAACTTTTTTCTTAAAACTGTCTTAGAAACTATGCTGTTTCCATTTACCCCAAATTTTATGAAATTTTCTAAATTTTGGGGTAAATGGGGACAGTCAATTTCATGCATTTAAAGCTTATCTAAATTTTTTCTGCTACATAAAATTAATCCTGGGAAAGTAAATAACAACTTAAAAAAAATAAACCCGCAAATATTACCTTTTAAAGAAAGAAACTTACGTAATTTGTGAAAAATAGCGATTTTGTCCCCATTTACCCCAACTGACCCTATATGAATTTATTTAACACAAATAATTTGTTACTTAAAAAACTTTATTTATTTCAATTAAATACTTCATTTTTTTATGTAAGTATAAATTATTTGACACTGAAATAAATAAATATTTAATTGAAACAAAAATAGCGAGTTATTTAAAACTCAAACTTAATTTATTGACTTAAGTAAATATAATTACTTAAGGCAAATTTTTTTTTCTTTAACTTAAAAATTATAATCACCTTCAATTAAATATTCACATATATATATATATATATATTTTAATTTACTTACTATTATGTGCCTTTTGTTATTTATTTTATATTAAAATATATTTATTTTTATTAATTTTTAATAAAATTATATTTATTCTGATAAAATATACTTATTTTAAAACGTTTATATAGTAAGAATACTCGTAATTTAAAGTCAATTAATATTTTTATTTTTTTATCTGTTGACATATATGTATAAAGAAATTTAAGATTTAAATATTATTTTAAAATGAAGTATTTGTAAAAAACAGATATTTTAAAATCAAATAGTTAAAATATTTATGTAAATTATGTTGTTTTAACTCTTCCAATTTATACAGACATGTCGAATAAAAAATTGCTATTGCTAATTGTTAGGTCTCAATTTTTTTAGGTTCCGTCTCTACAGGGTTCAAATTTTAATTTAATATTTAATGTTAAAAAAATGTATTAAAGATTCGAAAACAATGGAAAGAATGTTTCTCTAGAGTGGAGATCTGTAAAACAAATATTATTGAGAAAACGGAGAAAGGCTGGATTTTGCCGTCCTAAAACATTAGAAGAGTTAGCAGGTTACTTGTTAAAAAATTCAAAGTTAAAACCCATTTTTAAAGGTGTAGTAAAGCATGGAACACAAATGGCATTACTGTTCTCTACGGATAAACTTAACAGCGAATTAAATAGTCAAACTGGAGTTTATATGGATGGAACATTCGAAGTAATGTTATGTTTTTAATTTTGGTATTGATTGTATTACTTATTTTAATTATAATTCTATATGACAGGAAATCTTTTTATTTAAAATTTTTATATACGCGGTAGAAATTTTAACTGAATACTAGGAAATTATTTTAATTTGTCTAACTTTAAATGTGGTGTTGGATCAATTTTGTAGGATGTGGCTGTAACGTCTGTATCAATAAAATATTAGAAGAACCAGATTTCTGCAAGTAAAAATATTTTTTGCTAAATTTAAAAGAGAAAAACTGTTTGATAATTGTAATTTAAATTAAATATGCGTACAAAAAATGACAAAAATAAAGAAAGTGTATAAATTAAACATACTGTCTGTGGGTAATGTGTCTTCTTAAGAAATGTAGCTCATTCCAGTGCTCCCAAGTCTCCGGATTTTCTATCTCGTACAACCTCATATATCTATCTCACAAGAACTTCCAACGAGTTCTAACATCTTAAATAAATTAATAAAACATTATTAAGAAATAAAAAAATTTCCTTTTCTTTTTAATTAGACCATAAGTTTTTTAAATATTCAATTAATATTCAAGAAATAAGGAAATTAATAAATAAACATTAATTAATTAAATTAATTAAATTAAATTAATTAAATTAAATTAATTAAATTAAATTAATTAAATTAAATTAATTAAATTAATTAAATTAATTAAATTAATTAAATTAAATTAATTAAATTAATTAAATTAATTAAATTAAATTAATTAAATTAATTAAATTAAATTAATTAAATTAAATTAAATTAAATTAATTAAATTAATTAAATTAAATTAATTAAATTAATTAAATTAATAATGCTGACAACTGAAAAATTTTCATTGAAATTTTTAAATTTTATTTAGTAATTAAATTCTTCTGAAATAAAAATTCTAATAATCATTGAGAATGAAATAATAAAAATGATTCTACTAAATGAGAATTACATTTTAAAAAACTCTGGTGTTTCTCTTAGCGATTTAACATTTCACTGATTTTCAGTCAAATGTCACTAACTGTTAGTGATAACCACTGATTTAAATAGCTAGAATTTAGCGACTGATTTGAGACCAGTGACATTTTCACTTATTCATATTTAGAGAGTAGGAAATTAGGGAAGGAATATGAAATACCTGGAACCTTATTGCTTGAATTAATTTCTCTTAAATAATTTTGAATTTTATCCCATGCTTCTTTTTGATGTTTTTTTAGATATACCTTGATTTTGTCTACTGTACATCCACGGGTGTTTTTCAACATATTTAATTATTGATGAATTTCCCTTACTTTCACTAAGTCCCATATTTTTTTATTAATTTTATCGAATTTCTAAGAAAGATCAAATTAATTTAAAAAGAACTATGTATAATCCACTTTTAAACAATCTTAAGTTAATTAAATAGAATTTACAATGGTTACATAAAAAAATTGCATATTTAAATAAATCATGAACAATATTAAATCAACTTTGCGTTAAATAGGTTCTTCGATATACTCTTCAATCTTATGTCTAAAATCTTAATAATACTTCAAATGAAGTAATAATAATAATAATTTACAATAAAAAAATGAAATCATACATTATGAATGTGGGAAAATAGATTTATGAAACAAAGGTTTACGTTTAGTTGTAATTTTTCCTAGCGATATCAGGCACACTTACCATATGGAAAATTGTTCTGCAGTGTTATCATCAGAACTTTCAAATCAAGAATTATTTATCACCTAAGTAGGATATCAGGAATCATTAACTCAAAAAGTCTTCTTGTTTTAACTTTATTCTTAAACACTAAGAGAATGAATTGTGCTCTACAATTACATTTTAACACTAATAGTCCACTGAAAAATGATGTTCCGACATTTAATGTCGCGATTGGTCCCAATATTGAGCAGACGCTTTAGTGATATACCTGAGCGACTACACATCAAGTGTTCGCACAGATTTAGGCTATTTTGATAAATTTTTATAATATTGATAACACAGGCCTACAAAATTGTCGATTTTGTCAGACCTAGAATCCGGACTAGTCATTTTTCATGTAATTTTTCACGCTGAATCCAAAAATGACAGCGAAATTGGTCTATCACGTCAGGATTTTGAGATATTCTAACCTGAAAGCGTGAAAAAGACCGTTTTTGGCAACATTCAACCATCTATAAAATCTTCAAAAAATTTTTTTAAACATAGGTCCAAATTTTTAAAGAAAGTTCTACTATTCACCTTTCAAAATTTTCTTGGCCTGTTCCGATCCGATTTCTTTTCACTGAGATACAGCCATTTGAGTATTACGTTACACGACCTAAAAACTTTTTAAAAAAGGAAAAATAAAATTGCAAAGAACTTCAACTAAAACTCGTTACTAGGGGGGTTTTTGGGGTCGCTGATTGCAATTTTAATGTCAGATTTTCGAAATTAAAAATTTCGGATTCAATATGGCGGATATTTTTTTAAATTCAACTGATTCGCTTGAAAATCGCGTAACTTGGGAGTATTTTAGATCTTTGATGACGATTCTGATAGCAGCCGTATTGGATCCGCCATTTTTTCGAAAATCTGGCATCGTTATCGTACTCAGCTACCTCGAAATCCCCCGAGTAACAAGTTTCAATTTAAGGACTTAGTTTTCCTTTTTTTAGGGTTTTCAGGTCGTGTAACGCAAAATTTAAATGGTTGTATCTGAGTGAAAAAAAATCGGATTTGAACGGGTCAAGAAAATTTTAAAAGGCAAATAGTAGTACTTTCTTTAGAAATTTAAACCAACGTTTAAAAAATTTTTTTGGAGATTTTATAGATGATTGAATGTTGCCAAAAACGGCCTTTTTCACGCTTTTAGGTTAGAATATCTCGAAATCCGGACGTGATAGAGCAGTTTCGCTGTCATTTTTGGATTCAGCGTGAAAAATTACATGGGAAATGACTATTCCGATTTCTGGGTCTAAAATTTGTAGGTCTGTGTAATTTGGGTTACTTTAAATTAATACTTTATTCAATAAAATCAGATTAATCATAAAAATGTAAAAATTAAATTTCTGCATTTTTTAAAATGCTTATAACTTCTATATTTTTAACCGATTTTGTTAAATCACCGCTTTTTTTTATCGTTATACATCACACTTTAATTACCCATCATTAATCAGGTCATTAAAAATTTAATTTAACAGTAATTAAGAATAGAATGCAGTTTTTTTTCTACATTTTCATAAATTTGAATTAAAATTTTCGATATATTCATCAATTGCGTCTAAGGCAATAGTCGAATTGAGAAATATTCTATAATCAGTTGTTTGAAAAATTAATTACGTTTAATTCAAAAAAAAGAAAATTAAAATCCGTCTATTGAAACCGAAGATATTTAAGTAAGTAGTAGTAATATTAATTTATTTGTAATAAGAAAAAATCGCTATTGGTGCAAGATGCCCCACGGATGGAGCGTCTTGCACCACCATCATAGAAATGTTTTCATGTGTATTTACGATTATAATTACATTTATTGAAATCGCAAACACATCGAAAGAACAGCAAACATTTTTCGAAAAATGGGCAGGACCAAATTTAGCATTTTTACCTGCAGGCTAATTTCAATTCTCAGACGAAAAGTCAGGAAAAATAGTGCGCGGTAATGAACTTGCGTAAGGTTAGGTTTTCTGTTTAACTAACACCATCAGTGATCAACACTCATAAATTCCTAGAAACTTTTTCATATTTATTACGCAATGCCGCATTTATCTCAACACCAAAACTAGGGGTCGGTTCAACAACTAATTAGCGGGAAACTCACACCACAACATTCTCACTTTCCTCACTATATACGACAACACACAAATACACTCAAAATCACAAAGCGCAAAACACACACAACCAATGCGCTGCGTGTATGCATAATTTGTATTCTCAAATCATTCAACCGGAACAGGCTTTCTCATGAGCTATTTTGCGATTAGTGAGCAATTTCAATAAACATAAAATCAAAGTTTATTCTCATTGAATTATCTCATATCGGTTTTTCTCAAATCATTCAACCGGAACAGTCTTTCTCATCAGCTATTTTGCGATTAGCAAGCAATTTCAATAAACATAAAATCAATGTGATTCTCATTGAATTATCCCAGATTGTTTTTCTCAAAATTAAACTTTAAACTATCGGTAAAAACTTACATTAAATTGTTTTATGCTTGACCTCATCACGGTCGCGCCATTTTTGCACTTGTGTGCTTAACTTTTTGTGATTTCAAATAAAAGTTTAAACGTTAGTAATTGTACGTAAAGTGAATTTATTTCCTCCAAATAAGAAAGGTGAATTTCAAACATTTGGTCCCTCGAGCCGGATTTTGTGTGGCGTGAAAAAGTTTAAACGTGCAAACTCAACAGGTGTAGTGAAAGGAAGGTAGTGCTGAGTGGGGTGGTTCTCAGTACGACAACTGAGTTGAATGTTTTCTAATGGCAAGCTCGACCGGTGAGAAGTTCCTTAAGTTGTGAATACGAAGAGGGGGGGGGGTAGTGCGCGAACCTTGATTTACCTCCTATGCTTCCCTTGTATGAGAATCCAACCTTCTTGTAATGAAATGCGCAAGTACCAAATTACATGAGTTGACTGGTACACCGAGACAATTGAGTGCATTTATTGCTTCTGTTGTGTTTGTAGTAAATGTGTTAAGTTCACTTGCCGATTTAGCTGAGATGACTGATGAGTTAAATAATTTATCCATTTGAGAAGTAATGAGTAATCTTTTGTTTTCGTAACGAGAGGTGAGTAGTTCCCATGCCGAATTAAATGAGTCAGTAGATAAAGGTAAATTAGCAATGAGTTGAGCCGCTTCTCCAGTAAGAGATCATCTTAAATAATGCATTTTTTCAACGCCTGAGATGTCTAAATTGCTAATTACCAACGATAAGAATAAATCCTTGAATGAGATCCAAGACGAGTATGAACCACAAAAACATCCATTAAACTCTTTTAATAATAGACATATTGTGCTTCTCGCTACTTCTCAAGCTCTGCTGCTTATCCATTATAGCCTCTCTCATCCAGTGAGGATTTTCTGGTTCAGAATTATCATTTATTTCTAAAAAAAACTCATAACTCAATTATCTCATTATCTCAACCAAGCTACTCTTATAATGTTTTGGTCGATCTCTGATCTACATGAAATACTCACAAGGTTTTGGGTACAAGAGGAGATTCCACTCAATACTAAACTCATTTTCAGCAGATGAATTGGAATGTGAAAATAAATTCCAAACTACTCATTCACGTGACTCATCAGGAAGGTATATCATTCAGCTACCACTCAACTCATCATCAAGTCAACTTGGAGACTCATATATCATTGCTCAACGGTGTCTTCCATCGTTACTCAGGTGGGTCTCAAAAAATCAATCTATTTACGGTATGTACCACTCATTTCTACAAGAATATGAGAAACTCAAACATGTAACTCACGCTCAACCAATAAACTCATTATCACCAATTTACTATCTACCTCATCATGGAAATCTCAGGGAATAAAGTACAACAGCTGAATTAAGGGTTGTTTTCAATGGATCATCGGCAACCAGCTCAGGGATTTCACTCAATGCCATTTTACACACTGGAGAAAAAACTTCAGAAGGACATCTCAGATGTATTGCTCTGGACCAGGAAGTTCAGATTTATCTTCTCAACTGATATTACAAAAATGTTTCGCCAAATCAAGGTTCATCCACTCGATTGGGATTTACAACAAATCTTGTGTGTAAAAAAGGATCAAGAAGAGCCATATCAACTCACCACGGTCAGCTACAGTACAAAATCAGCACCATTTTATCAGTTAGAGCAATTCCACAACTCATCGAGGACGAAGGTCATGATATTCCTCTAGCGCTACCAGTTCTCAAATATGGAAAATATGTAGATGACATTTATGAAGGATCTGTGTGTCGATTATGTAATTTGATTTGATTCTGACGTCAAATTCAAATTTATTTTGACGGCAAAGTCAAATTTCATTCATGAAATGCATTTTTGGATTTGATTTTGACGTCAAATTTAAATTTATTTCGACGTCAAAATCAAACCAACAAATAAATTTCTCTAATTAAATTTCCATCGATAGAATTGCCGTTGATAAGTTCAGATAATATTGTTTGACAATTTACACACATTCTCGATACAAAATTTTGAATTATTTAAAGAAAAATTTCTATTCTCATAAGTTTTGATCAGCTTTTCTTTGTTTACTGTGATGAAAAAAGTTTCTAAATTACCGTCTTTGCAAACAATTTTTCTACCACACAAGGCACAAATTTTTTTATGTTTAAATCATGACAACAGGCGTGATTTAACTTGTAGTAATAAGTCATTTTTAAATAAATTAAAAATAAATCAACTACATCTACAAAACTTTGAATTAATTTTAGCCAACTTGTTATTTATTTTCTTACACGATACAAATACAAATTCCAATATCAGTAACTAATGTTGCGTATATTAATAAGAATAAGAAGTGATAGAAAATTTGGATAATCTAATGTTTGCATCTGCGGTGTTCTAGGGAAAATACTCTCTTATTATTTTTGTTCACAGTGCGGATTCAAAATTACAATATTGATCATCCAACATTTATTCTGAAAAATTATAGTTATGTATTATTATTATTATTATTTTTACATTTAATAAGTATAAAAAAATTGCACTAGTAATTTCAACTGATCTGCAAATCGTAATGAAGCAATTTTTCATTATAATGCATAAAAAAACAATAAATACATAAAAAGTCATGCAGGAGGATCGGTTACGATTTTGAATCTTTGAAATTTTGTTTATTTAGTGTCCAGAGATTCAAAATATATATGAGTTTTTTTTCGGCATCGGGGACCAACTTTTTCTTCATTTAAGACAGGTGTGAGTAGGAAATATAAACTGATGCTGTACACGATAAAAAACATATATTTTTACTGATGTATTTTATTGTACTTAAAAAAAACCTGTAATTAAGAAATTTTTTGACGTTGTCATGTAGGCGCTCCCTGAAAATCGCTTAAGTTTTAAATGTAAAATTAAACAATTTTGAATAGAAGAAGTCTTGCTAAAAATTATTTAGTTGCTCTCATTATTTAACGATGTGAATAATAAATTAAAATAATATATTGTACTACCTCGAAATTATTTAGAGACGACAAATATTATTATTTAAAATGTAAAAATAACTTAATAAAAAATTCCTTTAAAAGATTGACTCCTTTACCTGAACGTGCTCTAAAAAATTCACTCCTCTGCATTCTTTTACATCTAACATGAGAGTTAAATGACTTTTTGGAGGTATTGACCTGCAAACAAATTACTAATTAAAAAATTATTATTCTTTTTAAAGGGTCATTCATTAATTACGTAAGATTTTCTAAGGCTTTAAAAAATCTGTACATTACCTTGCGTTGGAAGAGGGGGGTATAAGTCATTTTTACGTAATATTTAGAATGAATAAAAATTCGCCTGGCAGTGTGCATTAGACGCAACCATCATTTTGTAGACTAAATAGCGTTTTGCATTTTCATTCATCAGTTTTGCTGCTGTCCACTGATAAATCATGCGCTAATAGTTGGTTATCTCAATGTTTAGTTGAAGTAACGCGAAATATTTTTTACCTTGTAGTAAACAAGTTGAAAAAGTTTAATTATTTTAAGACTGTTTCAAATGTACTTTTTCAATTTGGAACTGAAAGTTTTCCTAACTTATATTTTTTCAACTAATTTGTTTAATTACTTTAAGATATAGATTCCTTTCTTTAAGATTATAAAAAAACTTAATTTTAATTATAAGTATTTTCCAAAGAATTTAAAATTATTTTTTAAGAAATAAAAATCTTTGATATATGCTAATAATGCTTTTCAGTTTTTTTGAACCTTTTCAAACGCCACTAAAACAGTTTAGCACTTTTTAGGAAAACTTCAGGTGAAATCCTACGTAAATAGGGGGTGGGAGGTCTGTATAATTTTATTTGTCCGTACATAGGGAGAGGGGGTCAAAATAAGCCAAAATCGTCCTTACGTAATTAATTAATGGACCCTAACAATATTTATAGTATTTTAACCTATAACATGTTGGGGATCCTCCATAAATTATGTCACACCTTAAGGGGGTGTCAAGCAATTTGTGACAACCAGCAGAAAAAATGGCGGTAATGTATGCAAAAAGTGTGACATGGGGGGTCTGAAATGGTCAAAAATAGTGTGACGTAATTTATTGACAGCCCCTTGCTACAGAAAAATTTTTTTCGTGTACATATGTTCTAATGTATATGCAACGGTAGAGAAGGTCGAAATAATCATTTTAGTATATTAGAAATTTCAAATATACTTTCAAAGTTTAAAGTTGCCTGGATAGCACGTTAGCCTGCGGCAAACTTGCGGCGTCAAATTACCGAAAGCTTGTCTAAAATGGCCCATGCATGACAAGCATGAAGGATTACTATAAGATTGCAGGGAATTATTGCTGGAAAGTTTACATTTATGGTTTCAGTATCCTTGACAAGAAAATTGTTGCAAGCTTGCTACGAAATATTGCAGAAGGATTGAATCAAACTGGTTGCAAAATTGCAGCAAGCTTGCTGTGACTTTTCAAAAATATTTTTTTAAATTAATAAATGAATTTCTTTTAAATTCTTTGTTTTTTAATTGAAGATCTTCTTATAAAAAACCTGCTAGCAATAAACGATTTAACTTTTAAATTGAAAAATTTTAATGACATTTCAGAAATTTTATTTAGATAATTCACTTTCAGTAGAAAAAAATTGTTAGAAACTTTATTAGAAAATTTTTTTTTGGAAATTTGACATTATTAGAAAAATATTTAGGAAAACTGTACCCAAATCTAAAAAAAGTTATAAAAATTTTTAATTTTGAAAAACAGTTTTAAGTGTGTTCCGAACCGAAAAAATATTAATTATAAAAATTATTATCCTTTGTTTCCTGGAGGCACCAAGATGCCGAAATTAAAAGAAAATTCTGTTTATTTTATGGGATCGTGTATCCTATTTTAAAAGAAATTGCCAAGCTACGTTATTAGAGAATAAATTAAAGGGATAAAACACAATAAAACAATTAAGACCCTTTAATACATTTATTTTGTAAAAAATCTCGATTTCAAAACATAAAAATAAAACAAGAAGATAAAAAGAAGGAACGATACATGTTTGAAAAACTTACGCTACTGCTTAAATTACCGTCGCAAGCTAACGAGGGCGAAGCGTCGAGCTTCTATCTGACGGGCGGAAAAATGCACACATTTATCAAAGCGCGAAAATGTCAAATGGTAGCGCACAAGAATGCACTCACGCGTCCACTGAATTCAAACAGCGCAGACACCACACGTGCGGACTGGCCGGTCAAAAAGACAAATATTCAATATTTCGATTTTATTCGAATTATTGAATTTTTATTAAAGACGACTTCCGTTGGACCTCGTCGGCGTGAAGTATTTACTTTAACATTTCGTCTGTCCAATTTTAATCACTATCTATGTAGTGGATTATGAAAATTGAAAATCCGACTTACGGACGGGCTTAGTTCCGGCGTCTCAAAATCTTTTTTATGCCTCTGAAAAATTGAACCGGCGGATCGTAGAAGGGCATATAGGCCATGCTAGATACATTGCGTATATGCCCTTCTACGATCCGTTGGTTCAATTTCAGAGCTGACTCGCGAATGAGAGTTGTACTGCAATTAATTGACTTCTGCGATTCCATGGGATGTGATCACATGAATTTTTGCTGATTGAAGCAATTTTATTAAAACCTTGTGAATATGTTCCTTTATTTGTACAGAATGAAAGCCCACAAACAATTTTTCAAAATTTTCAAAATTTTTTGAGATATCTCTAATTAAAAATTTGTAATTTTTTTAAAAAAACAATGTAATTTTTTTTCCTGTTATCCAAATGAGATCATTTTTTTCAAATTTCTCACAAAAAGATGCTATTTAAAAAAAAAATAGTTCATGAAAAAAAAATTTTTTTTTGCCCAGAAAAAGTAAAAAAAAATTTGAATTCATTTTTTGAAAAAACTATCTCTTCGATTTAAAAATTTTTTTTTCTGCTTAATGCCTATGATGTTAAGAATAACTTCTCTACTTTTCATAATGGGACAGCAAGAACTTTGCGAAAAAAAAATTAAAACGTCCCGTGCGACGCGCCGGGAAAAAAGTGGTTTTCTTAAATAAGACCACTAATTTTCAGTATCAAGTTCGTAATCCCTATGAAATTCTGCGTTTAGACATATTGTATAAGTGCCCAAAATATTGGTCCCAATGTCTGAGATTGGGCCCAACATTTTTTGACAAACAAATAAATAAATTTTAAAAAATCTTATCTTTGGGGTTTTTGAAGTCACAGGGTTAAAAATTCGAAGCTAATTTTGAAATTGGGCACAGAGCCCAATGTGAGATTCCACGGCCCAATATGAGGCCCACAGTAAAGAAATTAGTTTTTTTTAAATAAAACCCACTAATTTCCAGTATTCATTTCGTAATCGTTATGAAATTCTGGGTTAAGACGTGTAGTACAAATGCCAAAAATATTGGGACAAATGTCTGGGATTGGGCACAATTTTTTTGGAATTTGTACCACAAGTCTAAGCACAGAATTTCATAACGATTACGAAATGGATGGAAACTAATTTTTTTACTGTAGGTCTCACATTGGGCCCCCAAAGATAATATTTTTTAAAATTTATTTGTTTGTCAAAAAATGTTGGGCCCAATCTCAGACATTGGGACCAATATTTTGGGCACTTATACAATATGTCTGAACGCAGAATTTCATATGGATTACGAACTTGATACTGAAAATTAGTGGTCTTATTTAAGAAAACCACTTTTTTCATTGTATGGACCAACATTGGGCCCCCGCCCAATTTTTTGGTCTCAAATATGTAGATCATGTTGTTTGGAACAACTTTGGTCTTAAACATTTTTTACGAAAATTCGTACTTTTCGAGATATTTGCAAGTTTCCATACTATATAATGGACGTGTAAACTAAGATGCGCGCGTCCCGGCGCGTCGCACGGGACGTTTTAATTTTTTTCTCGCAAAGTTCTTGCTGTCCCATTATGAAAATTAGAGAAGTTATTCTTAACATCATAAGCATTAAGCATAAAAAAAATTTTTTAAATCGAAGATGTAGTTTTTTCAAAAAATGAATACAAAATTTTTTTTGACTTTTTTCCGTGCAAAAAAATTTTTTTTTTCATGAACTATTTTTTTCTTAAAATAGCATCTTTTTGTGAGAAATTTGAAAAAAATTGATCTCATTTGGATAACAGAAAAAAAGTTACATGGTTTCTTTAACCTTTACTTGACACACTTTTTCTGAGTATCATACTTGACACATTGGGGTTTTTTGTACCCCATCGACAAAAATCATCATGAAAAATAAAATATTAAATATATCTACTTCAATTTTTTTTACATATTCTTGAGAGGTATCTTCTGAAAACTATATAAGTTATATAGTAGAATATTTAAAGTAAGTATTTTTAAAAAATTGGAAAACGTGAGGTATTTCGAGAAAAATTGGTAAGAATGGAAAAACGTGGGGTATTTTGTACCCCAGTGTGTCAAACAAAGGTTAAAAAAATTATAAATTTTTAATTAGAGATATCTCAAAAAATTTTGAAAATTTTGAAAAATTGTTTGTGGGCTTTCATTCTGTACAAATAAAGGAACATATCGTCGATTTAGGGCAGAAACACGCCTATTCAGGCGAATGTTGAAAAACATGACAATCTAAAAAATATTAGGGAAACCTGCCATTCCAGTAAAGATTTCAAAAACATGCCATCTCAGATGTCAAATTTTTGTTGATTGTTTTAGGTTGGTAACACTTTCTTGAGAATGTTATATTATAGTTAACAAAATTTTATTCTTAAAATCAATATTAAAAATTAAGAAAAGTATAATTATTAATAATAATAATAATAATAAAATTGCTCCAATCATCAAAAATTCTTGTGATCACATCTCATGGAATTGCTCTCTTTTATATGAACGTTTAGAGATTTCAGGTGGGAAAATTTTGTGAAGTAAGGTTTTTTAACACGTGAATAAGGCGTGAGCTCTGGGCCTGTTACTATGCCAATAATGCTGAGTTTTTGTTTTCTTTTAGTAGTTATAGCCAAGTATAATAATATACACTTGATAAAATCAAGTACGAGTTATTATTGAATAACTTGTTTTCTTTTGGATTTATTTTATGAATTTTCCGTGTTGGAAAATGTTTGGTTTTGGGTATTTTTACCCCTTTTTCATTTGCGACAATTACAACTTTGATGTTGT